CTTGATATCCACAACTACACAGTTTTGCTTATTGGTAATGGCATTAACTATAATCGATTTGCCCTTTAAGAAAGGTTGTTCAAGTAATTTTGTCAAATGAAAGTATCTTTAGATGATATGATCAAATTAGTGATGGTTAAAGTACTCTGGCAATATTTGCAGGGAGAGGATTTTAATCTGAAACCCTGTCACCCTAAGGCACTACATTAAGACTTTGCCTAGCAGACTAGTCATGGGAGAAATTAATTTCCTGTGGGCAGATCATTTTATGGAAACGCTGAAAATCTAGATCTCTTCCTGGATTTCTCACCAAGCTGTTTCACAGCCTTGGGAAATTGACTTAAGCTCACTATACCCTAGGATATACACTCTATAAATAATGATCTGCTTTGTAAACCACTTCAGGAAAACTGCTGCATTATAATGAGGTGTTAGTGCTATTATTATTATCATATGAAAATATATGTTATAGTCTATAAAAGCAGGAAAAGAAAATTACTGTATACACAGTTCAGTAGCTGAACATTTCACTAGTGTCATTACATGCAAGATTAAATTATCAGTTGTACATGAAAACTGGGTTTGGTTACTATAAAGCCTGTATCAAAAAGCAGCATTTCATTTAACCATGACCGGAATGCCTAAGGAATCTCAAGCAAGAGCAAATTGAAAGACAAATTAGTGTATCTGCAAGGTAATACATGGTAATACATTTTCTTCAGCAAGATGATGAAACCTTACATCTATCACCTACATGTACATCGAATCACAGAACCATTATGGTTGGAAAAGACCTTCAAGATCATCAAGTCCAATTGTAGGAAAGGGATGCCTGGCAAGGCCAGCCCAGGGAATCATGTGCCAGGATCCCAGCTCCTGGTTGCTCTAGCAGATGAGTGGACTCACTCCTCTACTCACATGAACAATCACAGAATCATTATGGTTGGAAAAGACCTTCAAGACCACCGAGTTCAACCGTAAGCCCATCACCACCCTGTCTGCTAAACCATGTCCCTAAGCACCTCATCTACACGTTTCTTGAACACTGCCAGGGATGGGGACTCTGCCACTTCCCTGGGCAGCCTGTTCCAAGGCTTCACCACACTTTCCATGTACAAATTCTTCCTAATGTCTAACCTGAACAGCCCCTGGCACAACTTGAGGCTATGTCCTCTTGTCCTATCCATAGTTGTTGTGGAGAAGAAATCAACTCCCACCTCACTACAACCTCTCTCAAGTAATTGTAGAGCGCGATAAGGTCTCCCAAGCCTCCTCTTGTCCACACTAAATAACCCCAGCTCCCTCAGCCGCTCCTCGTAAGGTCAGTGCTCCAGCCCCTTCTCCAGCTTCACTGCCCTTCTCTGGATGCACTCTAGCGCCTCCACGTCCTTGTAGTGAGGAGCCCAAACCTGAACACAGTATTCGAGGTGCGGTCTCACCAGCGCCGAGCACAGGGGGACGATCACATCCCTGGTGCTGCTGGCTGCGCTGTTCCTGATAACGGCCAGGACGCTCTTGGCCTTCTTGGCCACCGGGGCCCACTGCTGGCTCATATTCAGCTGGCTGTCAGCCAGCACCCCCAGGTCCTGTTCTGCCACGTAGCTCTCCAGCCACTCTGCCCCAGCCCTGTAGAGCTGCATGGGGTTGTTGTGACCCAAGTGCAGGACCCAGCATTTGGCCTTGTTGAACCTCACACCATTGGTCTCAGTCCACTGATCGAACCTGTCCAGATCCCTCTGCAGGGCCTTCCTACCCAGAAGCAGATCAACTTTCCCTCCCAGGTTGGTGTCGTCTGCAAATTTGCCTGAGGGTGCATTCAATACTCTCATCCAGACTGTTGATAAAGATATTAAAGAGGACCTGCCCCAACACTGACCCCTGGGGAATGCTGCTCATGACCAGTCACCTGGATTTAACTCCATTCACCACCACTCCATGGGCCCAGTCAACCAGCCAGTTCTTCACACAGCGAAGAGTTCTGCTGTCTAAGCCATGACCTGCCAGCTTCTCCAGGAGAAGGCAGAGGGAGGCAGTGTCAAAAGCCTTACTAAAGCCTAAGTAGACCATGTCCACAGCCTTTCCGTCATCCACTAGGTGGGTCACCCAGGTATAGAAGAAGACCAGGTTGGTGAGGCAGAACCTGCCTTTCATGAACCCCTGTTGGCTGGGCCTGATCCCCTGGTTGTTGCGCACATGCTGTGTGCTCACCCTTCAGGACAATCTGCTCAATAACTTTCCTGATATCGAGGTCAGACTGACAGGCCTGTAGTTCCCCAGATCCTCCATCCAACCTTCTTGTAGGTGGGTGTCACTTTGGCAAGGCTCTAGTCATCTGGGACCTCCTCTGTTGACCAGGACCACTGACAGATGATGGAGAGCAGCTTAGCAAGCATCTCCGTCAGCTTCCTCAGAACCCTCGAGTGGATCCGATCTGGCTCCATAGACTTGAGTATCCAAGGGGAGTACAGGTCACTGACTGTTTCCTCTTGAATTATGGGGGGGTTCTTCTCCTTTCCATAGGGGTCTTTCA